CCGAAAGCATCTGACTGCAGATTAGGTCTCTGCAGACAAGCAGATATGGGTGCAGAAGGGCAATAACAATTGTACGAATGCAAAGTGGAAGCTGGTATTGAGCATCAAATTTCTTTCTATTCCCTAGTATAAATAAAGTTGAAGAAAAAATGCCTTCACTAGTCATATATGCACACAATCTACCTTCACACACCATTATTTAATCATGAGAACTGGGGAGATTAATGCATCATCTGCACATGTCTGCAATACTAAAGGCTGCGGCGCTGAGAGCAGTCTGTCGCAGGAAGCATCTGTGGGGAATGGAAGGGTCCCTGCAGTGGGACTGTTTACTGAAAAATGGAGTTGCACACCTTCACACACACCTAGTGCAAAAACACAAAGACACACTATCAAATGCACTCAGTCACATACCACCCAGGGAGCGGAGCAGGAGCCAAATTGCACCACTCCGTTCAGCTTTAATTGGGGGTAAAATCAGGTGGCAGTGAGTGTGTCTGGTTAGAAAGCTCTGCCCCAGTGGATTCTGAATATAATTAATACTTCATCACAGAGCCTTGAAATGAGCCACGGTCCTCCAACTAAACAACCTTGGAGCCATCCAACACTTTATCCAACTGAAGAAACGACCGTGGGATTGATGGAAAATCCAAAGATGGGCAGAGGAGGAAGGACTGACGTGACAAAGGGAAAAGGAGGAAAAAGAAAGAAGACTGCGAGATCAGTAGACAGCTACAGAGGGTGCTGGCAAGCGATGGCTGTTTTCTTTTTGACAAAGTTTTCCTCCCCAAAAACACTTGTTAAATCTTTATTTGTCGAGAATGAGTGAGAGAGTTAATGGTAGCCACCCACTTCTCCTTCACATCTCACTTTCTTTGTCTCAGTTCCTCTGCCCTTTTCATCTCAGTCCTCTGTTTATGTGGCAGCAGTGGCAGACAAAGATGGAGGGGAGAAAATTATGCTCAGTGGGACACTTGGAGGAAACAGTTTGAAATTGAAATGAGGACGACCCACCCACCGCCCAATCCCTCTTAACACTGCATATGGACATGTTCTATCCTGGTTTTCTTCTCCTTCTAGCTGAGTTTCATACACACACACATGCAGACACACAGCTTCCTGGACGGATTTTTTTTTTTGTTCAAATGAATATTGCTCTGTGATAGACATGTGGTGAGCATCACAGCCGAGCCAAAATCTTCATCTCGAGATCTGAGCCTTGAAGAGAACAGCTTGTTGTGTAAACACGGGGGAAAGTGCTGGTGTTCTCCCTTATTCTCCTCTCATCCACGAAGTCGCTTCCTCCTTTTGTCTCTCCCATTCCTCACAAGATTGTACTGGACAACCACGCCTCTGTGTGTGTGTGTGTGTGTGTGTGTGTGTGTGTGTGTGTGTGTGTGTGTGTGCTACAAATCAACAAATTGCAAGTTTAAATGCCAGCTTTCAATGTTCTCTCATTTAATATTTATTCTAGGCCCAGAGCAAAAGCAGAAATGACAATTACCTTTTTCCCAGGGTGTTTGTAATTAAATGGTAAGACACATGTTGTCACTGCTTAGGGAGTAAAACTGGCCGTAGGTGTTCTTGTGGTAGAATCCGATTGCTTGATATGAGAAAGGTTTACCTGAATGCACGTTCTGGTCATACAGTCATTAAACTGTGTTGGGAAATTTCTGTTTTGGGAATTATTTATTTTCCCCACGTCTAACCCCCATGGAATCGATCTGGCTTATTGGCCTACTGGCCAAATTGTCCTATTGATCCAATCTTTTAACATCCTTGTGGAATCTTTTCTTTCTTTTGATCCATTAGCTTTAAAACCTGAAATTTGAACTCAGGTCAGCGCAACATATTTTCCCTCTAATGGCATCCTGCCATTAAGAGAGTTCCTCTGCCAAGGAAAGATCTCTTTGTTTCTTTGTCTGCAAGAGTACACAAAAACCAGGCTGAATTTCATGACCTCCCATGAGGAAAAAAGCCATTAAATTTTGGTTTCTTGGCCTCAGTTTCAATTTGTTTACTGGGATTTTGAAATCCATGCTGCTCAGACTTCTGCCAATGCCCCAAAACAAAGAGGCTCTATGTCATTTAGTTTATGCCCACTAAGCACTGAAAAGTACACTTGAAAGGTGCTCGAAGATAGACAAACGTCAGCTTTGCTTTGCAAGAAAACTGTTTTCAGAGGAATCGTTTCGCAGGGAGGTTGACTGATAATCCCTTGAGAGCAGGTCTCTGTAAGGAGAGATATACTTAGTGTTTTCACATTAATTACCTCCCCCAAGCAGGTTTTGTTTTTGATAGCGTGTGTGTGCGTGCGCCATTCTATCTGTAAACGTGATCGCTCAAAAAGCTTTGATTGAGGTGCAGAGTGGTCATGGTAACAATCCATTAAACTTTTGCTAATATCCACCGATTTTTCTTGCTCAAAAATTGACAAAAAGTGTAAAAAGGCCAGAGTATGACCTCTGACCTCTCCTTCAAGGCCAAAGTGATAATAATGGTAGACAGATCTATTTATTTAAGTTCTGTTTCTTACTGTGATTGTTTGTATTGACAGCATATAAGCAGGGAATGATATATGGGGATTCTAAATATCACATTACTTTGATCTCTGACATCTTCTTTAAGGTCAAATAAGTCCAAACGTTGATACAATGTTTTTTATCCAAAATTGTACTTAAAATGCTACATCGTCTGTTTTATTGGCAACATTTAGGACAATATGCTCTTATATAGGGATTCTAAATATGAAATTATAGTTTACATCCACATTTCATGTCACATTTGCACTTCACATCTGCGTTCCTTTCAAGCTCACCTCAATATATGTCGTGTCCTTAAACAAAGTGTCATGAGAATTAGTTAGAAACATACTGCAGTATAATGTTATGTATGAAGCTCAAGTTATTCATGTCCAGTTATTTACAAACCATTGGCTACTATCCATTTCCTACTCCGACAGTACTCCTATGCAATCAAAGTAGAAATCCGTCATGTTAGTCTGATTTTAATGCACTAAAAACTTACCTTTGAGAAGAACAAGAAAACCCAAAATGAATATGTAGTACAAAATATAATCCTGTTTGCTTAAAAATCTGAGAGTTCCAAGGCAAAAACTGCTGCTGACTGACTTGTTTCATTTGCCAGAAATCATCTTTATAATCCACAAGACTGATTCTGTGGACAGATGAGACAAATTTGAACTTTTCTGACAGTTACATAAAACTAACCTCATTTGATAAAAAGAACATGGTGATGGTAGTGTGATTGTCTGGGTGTGACTTGCTGCTTCAGAGCCTGGACGAATTCCAGTAATCGATGAAACAGTTAATAGTGATCAGTTCTGAATTCTCGGGGTAAATGTTGACATGTTCTATCTTTCTCATAGTTGCGAATCAACTGGCAGCTACACTTTTGTGGAAACAGTTCAGATCAGAAGATGAGGCTCGAGCTGAGCAGGAAGAGGATAACATTTTAGCCACATGCTGGTGGCGCTGTGTCTTTCCTTCACGTGTTTGCTTCTTTGGTGAAAGGAACTCATCTCATCATATTTTTTTTTTCAAGATGGCAAATCAGCATGCTGGCTTCCACAAACCAGAGCCTGCTCCTGTGTATATTTATTGGAATTAGTGTAATTTTACAATACAATACAACTTTATTTGTATAGCACCTTTAAAAGACCAGTGGTACACCAAAGTGCTTTACAATAAAAACAGGAAATTTAAGACAATAAATAAAAGACTATTAACAAAGTACCACATATGTCATCAGGTTAAGGGCACTAATTATACAACAATAAAAGGGAATATAAGAACAAAGTTACTAAGAACAGATATAGCTAAAAGATAAAGTACATAGATAAGAAATTCAACCAAATATAAAACAGGGACGCTAACTAGATGGAAAAGGTATGTTGAATAAATGAGTTTTTAAACGGGATTTAAAAGATAAAACGGAGTCTGACGCAGCGATAGGAAGGTTGTTCCACAGATTCGGTGCAACCAGGGCAAAAGCACGGTCACCCCTCGATTTAAGTCTAGATCTAGGCTGAGCCAGGAGTAATTGGGCTGAAGACCTGAGGGCTCGCCCAGGGACATATAGACTAAGAAGATCGACAAGATAACGAGGGGCTAAATTATTTATAATTTTAAAGGTGAGCAACAATATTTCAAATTCAATGCGATATTTTATGGGTAACCAATGCAACTCAATAAGAACTGAGGTGATAGAGGCATGCTTTCTAGTGCCAGTCAGGAGGCGAGCCGCAGCATTCTGGACAAGCTGAAGCCTGTGAAGGAGTGCGGAGTGAAGACCAAAGTAGAGGGAGTTACAGTAATCCAATCTAGAAGTCACAAAAGCATGAATGAGCTTTTCAAGATCTTTATGAGGGACATAGTGCTTAGCCTTAGCAATAAGGCGAAGTTGGTAGAAGCTAGATTTGATTACTGAAGACACTTGTTTGTTAAATTTGAAAGAGCTGTCCAGCAGAACCCCTAGGTCACTAACTGAGTCAGGGAAAGAAGTGGCAAAGGAACCAAAGGTATCAGCTGATTTTACACCAATTAGTGCAGATTTATGAATGAAGTATTCTTTTTTTCTAATAAGTAATCTCAAAAAAATGATTGACTGTACCTTTAAACGCTGAATTCATGAATATTCAAGTACTTTTCAGTTATATGCATCCCTGTGAAAATCTACGTACACCACATGATTGACCAACTTGTTGAACCACCTTTAAAAGCAATCATTTGAAGTGTTATTCTTTGTGCGGCTTTGTCAGTCTCTCATATTGTTGTGAAGGAATTTTGGCCCACTCTTCTTCACAGTGTTGCTTTAGATCACTGGCTTGTTGCGTGAACCAGTTTCCACCAAGCTTTGGTTGTTAGATGGTTGCTACTTCCTCTCTTACGTCCTGTGGAAACAGTAATGGCGTCCTTAGTTTTTCAGTCTCCTGCTGGATTTGTAAGGCTTATATTAATCGTCCTGTTTTCCCATTGCAGATCTTTCAGGGCCTTCTATGTGTTTTCTACAACCTTGGGGACGGGGACTACAACCTAACACTGCCCACTTATCGACTCGACAATGGTGAGTGGCACGAGGTCTTCCTAGATCGCCATGACAATGAGATGACACTACGAATGGATGGCGGCGGAGGACAGCGTGAGGTTTCAGGACTGCAGGGCCGGAGCCGAGAAATCATCATTGACCCCACTGTGGTGATGCTGGGAAACACTTTCCCTTCAGGCATCAACAAGAGCTTCCAGGGTAGGTGGTTACAGCATTAATCTAATAATACTGTCTCTCGGTGTCTGTCAGTCATGTAGATTTTGGATTTGTAACTTTTTTATGAGCAGAAAAAAAAAAGTCTCCAGACACCAGGGGCTGAATATGTACGTATATAAAAACATGCATGTATTTTTTTTCTACACAAACTGACATTTGTGAAACTAGAGCATGTGTGCACACTGGAAGAAATAAGTTTACCCATGCTTTCTCAGTTTAGCTGCACCACCTCTGAACTTGAAAAGATTCAATTTTCCAGAGAAATCTTTGGGGAAAAAAAATAAATCAGCTTTTATTTGTGCCCTCCATCGACTTCTTCTACTCCTACAACAGTGCTGATGTGCAGGTTTTCTTAGTAGCAACACGTATCATTCAGAAGAAGACAGCAGTGTATAAATGTTGACAAGGCTGTGCCGACATATACAACCAATGTGGCAAGGATGCAAGGATGAGAACCCCAAAGTTGGCCTTTGGGGTTCTTAGATGAATTTGGTCCATCTCCTTCCACCTCTCTCCAAAAACACACCTTCCTTCTAGATTACTGCAATCCAGAAAAAATTTCTGGATGGAATCTGGGATGAAAAGCTCAAATGAAGACTTGATGTCCTGCACATGAGTAACTGTCAGCCGTGTTGGCCCTGGCTTATCACAGTAACAGCTCTGCAGGGTGGCTCATTTCTTGGGCAAGAAGACCATTCAATTTCACCAGTTATTGACATCCATATTTCTTCACTTGCTGTCTGGTGGGCTTGTTCTGGTCCTGGAGCTGGCAGCAGATGGGGTACTCGTCTTCGTTTTGTTACTAAATGATGCTCAACCTCCTCTTCTTCAAAGTCACTGTCAGACTCTGAATTTTCAGAAATGTGAAATATTCTGAAACCTCTTTGTCAACATCATCATCCGAAGCTCCTCTCTCTTCCAAAATCAATTGGATGGCCCTCGCAGCAGATAATCTTTTGCCATCTTTATCAGTTGTGATAAAGAACCACACTGGCAAAGTCTTATTTATAGTATTATGCCCCTAATTTGCAGGTGGGACAGGGTATGAGAAAATAAAATTTGGATCCCTCAAGAAAGAGGGTAAAATGTGCGGGAATGTCAGAGCAGACGGTGTTGGTAGTTGAATTTTTAACAATGTTGCAACTTTGTGCGGGAGCAGGAGGGGAAGAAGAAGAAAACACTATCAGCAGCACCAGAAAGGAGGAGGACAGAGTGTGGGAACACAGGACCTACACTTTCAACACTTTTATTAGACCTGGGTCCAGTGGACCCGAACACCTTGTATGTAATGTAAATGCGTGGGGGGAGGTACAGTATGAGGTCATTGAAAATTAGTTCGGATTTATGTTCTTCACAGAAAATAAGCCAAAGCCAATGAATTTCAGGTTGAAAAAATAATTAATTGTTTAAAGAGCTCTGGGAACTTGATGGTATGGGCCTCCATAGCCTACAGTGCCTGTAGGTGTAGTGTGCAGGTGGCTCAGAACGTTTGGTCATACAGTGTAGCTGGTTACCAGCAACTGAAGCTTCAAAACAAAAGTGAAGGGATTGTACTACAGTAAATTAATTATATCGTCTTTTTGATGGATGAAAAAATACAACATAAATAGCAAAATATACTTGATTGCCATTAAGAGGACACGGCTTTAGAAGATAACATAGAAAATAGTGCATGGACACATTTCTGCCTGTGTGCCTGCAGAGGATTTTAGATGTGAATTTATATTATTTTATGGGTCTGGCCCCAGGTGTTAAGAAATGAAAATCTGAAATTATTTTGTATCTTTGTAATATGAGCTCCTAAGTAGCACTTCCCAGCCAGGCTTATAGTAGTTACTTTGGATTCAAACTCAGGAGCTGTGGGGTACGTCTGCTCGGGAGAGACCGAAGCACAACATTCTGCAAGGACAACAAGAAGCTTTTTTGAGTGACCCTCAGAGCAAATCAATACCGATATCTCAGTAATCACTCGGGTCGGCGTTGGCATTTCTAACAAACCTGCTCAGCGCAGACTCTCAGAGACTGATTCTCCAGATGTGGACAGATGCCCGACGGTTACAGTCTGTTACTTTCTGCTCTCCCTCCCTGTATTTATAAATTGTCACGTTTTACGACCTCATTTCTATGAGTAACAACTGTAAAATATGCTTTGATGATTTGATGGATGAAAATATTTAGCTGATAGGTTTTGTTTGTACTGAATAATGGACCTATATTTCATTTTATAACACTAAATTAATGGCTTCACTCTTCTTGAATTGAACTGCAGTAGTGAGATTTTCTGAACTGCGGCACACTAATGACTAAATATTTAAATGTCATTTTTTTCTCATTTCTGTAAAGCTGCTGCTTTTTCCTGCCATCCTAAAAATGAAATAGCAGTAAAACATTGTTTGCTCTTTCAGGGTGATTTATTACTCTGAGTTAAAGAAACCATACATAGTCTGAGTGAAAGAGCAGCATATTGATGTCGTGCAGATTTGTGCAAAGTTGGTGGTTCTGTCACAGTTAAATAGACTGTGATTAAATTTTCTTTGGTCATAATACAAATTAAATAGGTGATATTCTTCCAGTGTATCCATATGTGTTCAGCAATGACACAGTCCCAACACTGTTAATGAGGGAAAGCTGTCCAACCAGTTGGTGAGTGGTTGCTGGAGGTCGATGGCAGTCAAGCAGACCTAAAGACTGGTCAGTGACACTCACCAGGAAATGCAAGTTGCAAATGTTTATCCCCCAAATAGTTACAATATAACACTACTATAAGTATAATTGTGCTACAGCAAAGCTGGTGATACAAGTCCAAGTTGCAGAGAAAAAAGTTTTTAAAACCTCTGTGGTACAAAAATGAGCAAATTGTAGTTGAAATTAATCTGCACATTTTGTCGAGTCTTACTTCTAGAACTAATTTGTTTGAGTTGAGGTGTTGTTGTTTCTGTCCCAAGTGGGTTGTTGTTATAGCGTAGCTGCATTCCTTGTCCCCATCAGTAAACTGCTCAGTGTTATTCCAAATCCTGAAAATAATTAAAAACATTTTTTAATTGCTAAGGTGGTAAACACAGAAAAAGAAAAATGTAAAACTTTAAAGAAATGTAACCATTAATTGTGCCTTTTTCTCAATAAATAATTATTGTGAAAAGTTTGAGGAGAAAGTAAAATTCACCCACGTTACAGAGTCCTTTTTCACAACACTAACTGGGCTGTGTAAACTGGATTGTTGAGTACCATTAACTAACCTAGTAATTGCTTGTTTCTACTTTTTTGTAGGGATGTTTCTCTGTACAGAAAACAATATATATTTATGTTCTGCAGAAAACAAAAGTCAGTCATAAATTTGCCCACAGAGTTTACACAAATCTAAGGCAGATGGATGTGAGCAGGGCTGAATCATTAAGGGTTAACATCTTCTTCGGGGAATAGAGGAAAAGGTTATGGCATACAACAATATAAATCTTCCAGAATTTCTCTGATGGATCGCACCGTGGCAAAATAACACAGAAGAATTGTTGTTGCTCGACACCATCTAAACACCATCCAGGCTCTGGTGTATATAATTTGTCTGAGTGTGTGGAAGAAAGAGATAATGTGATGTGTTTGATGTGTCACAGGGTAAGGTGAAAGGGGTGGTGTTTCATTCAGGCAGTTTAGCAAGTATTTTTTCTGAGGAGTGCTGCCAAAAATAGGTTGTTTTATCTATTCATGTGTGCTCTTTTCAAGAGAGAATTGTGACATTTTTATGTATTACTGAATGATTGATATGACACTTTAATGGTTAATTCATCCAAATGCAGTTTTATTGTTAGCTGGGACGATGGCCATGGTCCCTACAGCTCTGTGTGTGTGTGTGTGTGTGTGTGTTGTAGTTTTTTCTGTGTATGTGCTATAGTGTGCGCGAGTGGGTGTCAGATTACATTGATGTTATTCTTACAGCTATTTAAGGTCCACTTTTCCCAAAAACTTCAAGACTTCTAAACACAACTAGTCAGATGTCTGTATATATAATATATTAAATTATATCAGGTTCAGAACTGGACTCAGGATAACTTACTTAAACCATAAAGCAGCAACAAGCTGAACTCAACAAACTGTTTTTAATGCTGATAAAGGGAAAAATATATATGCTGGACAAGGATTTAAGCCAGAGGACTACACAGAACAGGACATGGAAACACAGTGCCATGTGGGAAAGAGGCAACAAACACAATAAGTGCTCACCAGGTAATTAAGAAGATGGAAAAGACCAGGGAACACAGCTGCAACAAATCAAGTAAAATAGACAAGGAAGGTTAAACTCAATACCAGGCACACGAGATGCTATTAAAATAGAACAGGAACTAAGAAGCTGTCATCAACTGAAACAAGTATGGAACTAAAGGCACAGAAAACAGGAAACTCATAAGTGTAAGTAAGATAAACATAGCACTTCAGACAGAAGGCTATGGAGCTCACACATAATCCCATCATAAAACCAAAAACTCAGAGTGAACCTTCTGAGCTGGAGCACTTAACTAAAGGCATGCAATTCAACAAAAGAACTCACATCAAGCAAGGAAATAATGAGAATTACAGACACAAAGAAAGAACAAAAAGCTAAATGTGAACACTAAAAAATACAGGATCATAAATAGGATAAACGAAAGCACAAAACTAGAAAAAACTCAAAACCCGGGATCCACGCCGCAGGGACCCTGACAGGAACAGCTTTTTAAGTTAGCTAAGGACATGACAGCAACGTTTTACAGCGCAAAACTCCAAAGGATTTCACCACTGAAGGTATACGTATGATATCATTAAAAGACTGAGAAATCTCTATGCACATGGTCCAAGGACACAAACTGCATGGCATCATTTTTGATTCAATTCAGTTCAGTTCACTTTTATTTATACAGCACTTAATGACAACAACAGTCACCTCGAGGCACCTTAGCCCTTCATGCTGCGTTTCAGTAAAAGCAGGGATGGTTCTATCGTGGAAAACACTGAATGGGCTCAGGGACGTGTATGGAAAGCCATTGCAAGTGAACACAGTTCAGTGCTGCATTCAAAAAGTAAAGTTAAAAAAATTACTATTCAAAAAATATATACTATGAAAATCTTAATCTGAAATTGTATATGGAAGTGATGGATGCTTTCAGTGTTGAGTTCAAAATACAGGTGGAATAAAGTGCCCATGGGATGGGTGAGCATCACATGTGGGACGGCTTCATTAGCACTAAACAGTACACACACTTTTTTTGTTATATTTGTTACACTTTTGTTCCATTTTTCTCAAAGTTCCTGTTTCCAGGCTCAGCCGTCAAGGCGCTCTTTTAATTTTAACCTCATTTGTGCCATGCGAACATGCTAACAGTTTGAATAAGCTGAAACTGCTTTGTGCTGTTTGTTTATTTTACATGGAACAATATCAGCTCACCTTCAGTGTTATGAATTCCCACACAAAAGGGGGCATTTATTTATTTTTTAACGTGGCCTCATTCTGAACAAACAGATCTGAGTTTTTTGTGCCATTTGTCTGAATTCAGTGTCTGGCCATGACTTTGCAGAGACGTGCTGGCAGATGTAGTTAAAAGTGGTTCTTCACATGCTGAAATTTTATATGAAATCTGTCTCAGTGATGTCACAAGTCATCATCTAATCACTCCCGGCTTTGACATCGCATCCTCGTCTATCTCCCTGCAGAAGCAGCAGCAGGCATTTCTTCTTGAAAAGTGGAGTCCGATTTACTCTGCTGCATGTTAGCTTGAAGCTGTAAGAAATACAACTGTAGACGCTGACTCCAGCGGTCTCCATGATTACTTCAGCACAACAACATCGTCCATTGTTCCTATTTGGATCAGTTGAGGACCGTAACCCGTTCATACTGGAACCTGATGTTGGCACAAAGGAATAATGTGAACAAAGTAGAATTAGACACTAAGGTTTGCATTGTTAACTGGGACCTACGAGAGACAACAGACTGACTCATGCACATACCGTACTGTACGAACACAAATGTTGGCAGATTCAGTTGAAATATCGAGAGAGAGAAAATAAGCGTGGGTACGGATGGAAAAAGGAAAGATGCTATATGAGAGAGGAAGAGGTCAGAACCAAGAGCCACAGACACAAAGTGAAAGAGAGGCAGAGAACTCCCAGATATTAGACAGTGAGAGATGTAGACAGCTTTGCTTCGGGCAATAAAAGACAATGCATGAGTTTATTAAACGGATTTTAAAAGCACTTCCCTTCAGAAGAGGTACACTTGATAGATGATGGCAGGCCAAGTGAATATCTGTGCACGACTGTGTTTGCTTTTGGGGGATGTCTCTCTTCAAAAAACGACAGGGGAGATGAATTGATAGCTGAATATGCCAGCTTAGCAATTAAGGGATGAAAACACAAATACCATAAATATATGTTGTCACTTAGACAAACAGGAGTAGACGTAATAAGATAATGTAGAATGCCCGAATCGGATGTTGCTGTTAAATAAGAGCATTGCCATTTTATTGAACTTTTTCAAGCAGTCAATTTTAAACTGCTCCTACACTAACGTGACATCTTTGCTGCCCAATAACTGAATAAAACAGAACAAAATACGGCTAATAGAGATTTGCTTACTCTCAATTTGGGGTATCCTAAATAATATATAGGCTCAATTAGACCTCCACAGTTTTCTTTCCTCTGTATCATTGTCTTTAAATCTTAAGTAATTTTAATTTGTTTGAGTTCTTCATGTTTCTCTCTCCATTGTTCCCTCCTGGGTTTCTCCATCTCTTGTGCTTCCCTGTAGAAATTTAATAAGACTCCTTTAAACATCAAGCAGTGCTCACACAGTTCTAATTACAGCGATTGTGGATTCAAAACTTGCTGTGTGATACAGTCTCTCAGCAGTGGGGTTACTTTCGAGCTAACTCAAACCATAAAGCAGCAACAAGCTGATAGTTTGACCACTGGTGTCAAACTAGCTTTAGCTCATGGACTGCATCCAGCTCAGTTTGATCTCATCAAATAGTAACTTCCACAAAAACTTAAGAATTTTGTATGTTTTTTAAGAGTAAAAGTTTCATATTAAATGAACCGTAAATATTTAGATTATAAATTACTTGTGATTTATTTTCCCATGTTCATTACAAAGAAACTCAGTTGCCCTAAATTTAACCTCCTAAGACCCGAACTCTTCCACGACATGCATTTTTAATTTCTCTTTGATATTTGGGCATATTGGGACCCGATGAATGTAAAAACAAAGAATTACCAGATTTTTTTACCTTATTTTTGTTTTTAAGAAAAATGAGAGCCACATATGAGGATATTTGTTTAAAATTTCGATAGAACAGTAGCAGCATAATGTCCTCGTAAGTGGATATCAGGCCCTTGTAGAGCAAAATTGAGTATTTTGGTCTAAATAACCCAAAATGTGATGTCCACATATGTGGACGCCAGGTCCTAGGAGGTTAAAGAAACAAATCACCTTTGCTCCTTGGTTTAAAGGTTTTATGTCAGTGTGTGTGCAGGCCATCAGTACTGGCTGTGATAACTGAGAATCATTCAGATGTGTGGATTTAACAGTTTGAAAAGATCATCTTATTGCATGATACAGTTCCTAAAGACTTACCATAATACTTCCTGATCCACCCATCCATCCACTGTACCCTGTACCAGCTCTTGGGTACATGGTGTGTTCTCACCTGAATGTCCCAGGTCTGCCACAGGGACTCCACACAGTCGGACATGCCCGAAACAATTCACCAAAAAGCTGGGCAAGAGGCTTCCTAGTCAAGTGCGGAAGCTGCTTCAGGTATTCTTGAGCGGTTATACTCTGAGCCCCTGAAGAATACCTGAGCTCCTCGTCTTGTCTCTGAGGACGAACCTTTAGGAGAAAACTCATTTCAGTCACTTCAGTTCATGTCCGTTTGTGAAGGTAGAAACATGGATTGAGCTGTAAATCAACAGCTTTTCCTTAATGGGGAGCTCTTTCTTTATTCAAGCAGATGAGACTTGAGGTAATATAAAAACAACAGTAGAGTAACAACAATAATACAATAACCACTTTGGTTTTACTTTGTGACTTATAGCTGGTTGTTTCTTGTAGTATTAATTGATATAAATCCTATTGAGTTCTTACCTACACGTTCTTTTATTTGCTTCTTTGCTTGGTAAATATGTTTTACAGTCGGTCTGGGAGCCTCATTGTGAAGGGTGTTTGCTTTAATTCTGATATAGGAAAAAAAGGAGTCGGGGATTAGAAACAGTTGCCAAAATCCAAAAAAACCAAACTGTAATAAACCAGAAGTAGGAGTAAAATAAAAATGAGCCTTTCAAATGTATTTACTCCCTTTAGCACAGTTTAGCAGGTGTTTGCCCGAGTGACACATCTAAGTTGTCAGCGCATCGCGGAGAACATAATAAAGTATCCAACACAAATATTTTCCTGTTATCCACAACATTATGAATGACGGATTATTAGATTCTGCTCTAAATACCTGACACTCAAAAGCTCACTAGACATTGTTGCAGCAAAAGAGGAATTTTGCTAAATCTTGGAGACGTCAAAATGTGAGTGGGTGGATTTATGCCTCAAGTGGTAGAACTGGAGCCAGCAGTTTATTTGTTACCAGGTACACGAGCAGAGCTCTGCTCTCATTTTGTGTCCGTGTACATAAATGCAAATAAAAAGTCTGTTTGTTGTTCCGCTGAACCCTCATTTCCATTCTTCTCTCTGCAGGCTGCATGAGGGATCTACGCCTCAATGGTCGCTACATGCCGCTGGACAGCCAGCCACGAGATGGGGTTTCCCAGGTCAGCGTACAAGGCCTGTCTGTTGGGTGCTCATCTGACTCCTGCAAAAGGAACCAATGTAGCCCCCCTTTTACCTGCGTTGACTTGTGGAGAGTGCACGAATGCAGGTACGCGCACAAACCCACGCATACCGAATGCAATTGCACAGTCGAGCACACACGCTCTTCCTTGTGAGTCAAAAGCATGAAAACACTTGCGTTTAAACCCATTTGCTCCCTTTGAAACCACTTCTCAGCCTCTGACATGGATATTATTTTTGTTCATAGGCATATAAAGATGCTTTGAAATAACCCAGCCCTGACCCACTTAAAACTGCAAAAGAAAAAGCATCCCTGAGCTTTTATTTACTGTAAAGCTAAAATGTCTGTGCAAATTCTATGGAAACCATTTTCTAACAAAACACACATTTGCTCGTGCATACAAACACGAAGGATGTTTGAATGCACGGCAGCCAATTCAAAGCAAATAGTAAAGGAAGACCAGAAAAGGTCCACACTGGCATCCTGTACAACAACTTGCAACACTGGAACAAGAAGGACAGCAGACTGACTCTTTTGGAATCTGTAACAGTTTCAACATGGTCTGAAATGTGTGGGAGTGGAGCAGAGCAGTTTTAAACATCCACCAGGTCATGAGCTCTTTGTTTCTTGTACTATAAATGGTGGCATACGTGCTAAAAAAAAGAAAGCACATTAACCTTGTGCATTTTGAAATTACAATCAATCCAGAATTCCCCATTTGGATGTCCCAAACATGAAAATTACATTAAAATGAGCAATAATCCATCCCAAACCCTGAACAGATCTCAGGTGATCTAATGATATAATGAGAGCTATAATCTGACCACATTCCTCGTGTCTTTTTTACTTTTTAATCATGTTATGAATAAATTAATGCCAGTCATTCAGTGCACAGGCAACAGAATCCCTAAGCAACGTGCGTGCAGCCATGCCCATCCATCACTATATACAGTGATAGATAGACGAGGTAGTAAATGTTGGGTATTTCTTGTCTAAAAATGATTTTACACAATGAGCACTTTTCTTGTTTGACTCTCAGACTCTGAAAAGGGTTCTGTAATATCTTTCTATGACTTCAGGGCATGTCTGAAATCTCAGTTGGGCCTGCAATAAAACCGTGTGTGTATGAGAGCGGAAGCTGTGGTCATTCATCAGGTCTAACAAAATTATAGCAGGGAGCTGCATTATTGGAATTGTAGGATCCAGACGTAAAAGTCAAGATACGTCAGCCTCTGCTGCACCAGTTCGGATCATTCTTTATTAAGTTTGGAGTTATAGAAATGCAGGATTACTGAATGTGACTCTGATTGCTTTGGTGGTTTAAACATGGAAAGAAATCACAAACTACCTCCAGCTAATTCTCAGCAATTCCTTCTGAATTTACTCTTTTGCTTTCTCTCTACAGGCCCAATTAACAAATCCTTTCAGGGATGTGGAATTTTATTTTACACACAGTCTCAATTAACTCAGTTTTTTTGTGATGCTTCTTTCTTATTAAACTTTTTTTTAAAAAATCAGGAGCAATAAATGCAAGGCGACTACCAGGCAGCCTCCAAGTGCCAAACTGGTTGAAGGCCATTGCAAATTATTTGCTCATTTAGTTTCCTGTTGAAAATACTATCTTCTCCATGAATGAGAAATAAAGTTCCTTAGCCACAGGCTCAGAGCAGCTGCTAAACCTGTGACAGTGAAATCATCTTATATCTGTCTCAAATACTGATCTGTAGACTTTTATGACATGAAAGTCATGTAAAATAATCCAGTACGGTGAAATGTATACACTATTATCAGAGAAAAGCTTCCTCCCATCCATCCATTGACTTCCCTTCATCCAGGGCCGGGTCACAGGGGTGGCAGCCTAAGCGGAGAAGCCCAGACCTCCCTGTCCCAGGCCACGCCCTCCAGCTTATCTGGGGGAACATCAATGCATTCGCAGCCCAGCTGATTGACATAATCTCTCCAGCATGTCCTGGGTAAGGTGCCCTGCTGAGAGGTAGGACGTGCCCAGAACACCTTACCCAGGAGTAGGGCTGGGCTATATCATGCCGTTCACGGTAATACCGGTGTAATGTTGGGCAACGATAAGAAAATGAAAAATGAAATATCGCGATAGAATATGGGCAAAACGCGCATGCGCGGTGCCTTTGTTTACGTACGCACATGGCTACGACGCAGAATGAGAAGAGCGAAAGCGGATCGTTGAATGAAACAGATGAACCAGAAACTTCAGTGGTGTGGAACTGGTTTGGCTTTCGTCCGTCAGATACACAACAAAGCACTATTTTTGGTAGCGCATGCTAGCGGGCCGTTCAAGCTAATCTACTTGTGCATCTTTGGACCACTTCTAGCGTGGCTTGACCGTATGCACCATGGAAATCAGACGTGTGCAGAGAGCAAGCATCAACTTCAATATCAAGCCGACTTTACTTTAGTTTCAAGGATTATTGCTGGTGATTTGAGCAGGATCTCTCAGACCCAGAGACTAAACAGTTTATTTCTAGTCAGTACAACAGGCCGTGAGTGTGCATGTCTTTTTGAATTTCATGGACATGAAACTATCCCTACATGGTCTGCTGTAACGTGCATGCCTGAGCTGTACTTTTGGACATGCTGGAGGAGGTCCAGTGAGCATCACTGATTAGTGCTCTCTGAAAGTCGGGTTCAGACTCAAAACAGGAGAGGTCCTGGAAGAACTCCTTCCCAAGGAAACTACATTGAGGGGAAAATCAACCAAATCTAAATATGATACTTTTTTCTAATGTGGTAAAAGGCATTTTAATATGATCACATCATCACATTAATATACTCACTACAATTTGCCTAAAATAAATGCTTGCACAGAAAGAATGTTTGCTAATAATACATTTGTGAAAATTCATGTATATTTACTGGCCCAAATGCCTTTGAACTCTGGGCACCGTTATTTTCTGTCTGAAGTTGGCATCAGACAGACTTTCAAAAGTTGAAACCCACAGAAAGCTGCAGTCCTGTCCCCCTTTCAAACATAACGCACAATGCAGCGAACCCACCTGCTCGGCCACTAAATGTGGTAAAAACAACATTAATTTTTTCAACCCCTCTCACCCTGATCGGATTCACCCATTTGCTTGATCAACGTTTCACACGCACTACTGCATTAATTTCTCTAAAAGGCTTAGTTTGTCGGTGGGAAATGGGAAATGTCGTGCAACGAAAAGCTGCGGCGCGCTAACAACCCTCTCCTGTGGCACAGAGCGAATCAAACACGGAGAGCTCTTAGCCACATCCACTAATCTCAGCTATTTTTCTGCCATTGGAAACATCAGCCTCTATTCAGTGTGTGCAACCTCCTAGCTTTTAATCTGGCCTTTCCCCTTTTTCCCACTCCTCTCATCCACTCATCCACTCACCCACATCATCTATCCACCAATTTATTTTTTCTTCTTTTACAATGGCTCTCATTCTTGCACTCTGCCCCTCCTATCCCTCCATTTCTTGGGTTGTATGGTTCTCATCTCGCTTTAACCTCCCTAGCGCGGCTACACACACAGACACACACATAGACACACACTCTCTATTCTCCTAGTGCTTATTTGTTCGCCTTGTTCTCTTTCCAGTACTTGACCTGAACCTTGAAACATGATTAAAGGGTAGTAAATGTTGGCAGTGAGCACTCCATGCCCAAGTGTTTGAAGCTAACTGGAGGGCCACCGTCAAATAGTCAAGTAATTGCTGTTAATGCTGCATTTGGGCTCAAATAAATAGGGACACAGTCAGATTTGTCAGATCCTTTTTTTTTTTCCATTTAAGAAAAGAGAAAATATGACAAATTCACTGTTTGTAGTCAGGTTATCATAAACGTAAATGGAGACAGAGAGAGTATAACTGTTTCACATCTAAGCGGGGATAGTCGAGGGGATCAAAAAGTCGAAACTGTGTTTAATTGAAGCTTATTGTGGCGTCAGATCAGACCTCCAGTTGTGGAGGCGAAGCATCTGTCAGAGCACCAACTGCTTCACGAGGGGAAACAGAGACAGTACTACACTCAACAAAAATATAAACGCAACACCTTTGTTACTGCTCCCATTCCCCATGGGATGGACGTAGAGACCTAAAATTCATTCCAGATACACAATATAACCATCCCTCCCAAACAGTGGTCACAAATCAGTCCAAATGTGTGGTAGTGGGCACATCTGCCATATTGAGATAATCCATCCCACCTCACAGGTGTGCCACATCAGGATGCTGATCTGACATCATGAGTAGTGCACAGGTGTACCCCAGACTGCCCACAACAAAAGGCCACCCTGGAATGTGCAGTTTTGTCTCACAGCAAAATGCCACAGATGCCACAAGCAATGAGGGAGCGTGCAATTGGCATGCTGACAGCAGGAATGTCAACCAGATCTGTCGCCCGTGCATTGAATGTTCATTTCTCAACCATAAGCCGTCTCCACAGGCGTTTCAGAGAATATGGCAGCACATCCAACCGGCCTCACAACAAGATAAAAAAAATAAATAAAAAACTTTGATTTTACATTTGCCACGTCTCTGTATCTCAGCCATGCAGGCACAGGAAGGATGGCAAGTAGTTTGCAAAAGCTTTAAATTAATGATATTTTAGACGAACCCTATCATTCTGACCACTTGCCTTCTGCAAAGCCCACTGCTGCTCATCCATTATGTTAAAATAAAAGCTCTAAAATCTAAACATAATTCTGAGGATGGGCGATGTTAGTGAGTAGGATAGTTAACAATATACTAGAAGTTATAGACAGACACTTTGACCCTAAGGAATAAATTCATGCTGCACATGTTTCTAACATAATGTGCCACCTTCAGTGTCGCACACTCGCTGGTTTCCGGGTGATCGAAGCCAAAGACCCAGCTCTCATCACCAACTGTAAGAGAGTCGGTTTCATGCAGAAGTGTCGGTATTCCTCAAAAGATTTCCAGGAGGCATGTTGAAATCTTAGAGCCCAAACAGATGTGGTCAGAAGTGGACTCCAGTAAGTGATCAAAAATGGGTTCAGTCATGGAGAGACGCACAAAGAGATGATCGTGAAGCAGAGATCAGCAGAATAAAAAACAATATTTTGAGGGTTTTTTTCATTTATAGACAGAGTTGTGGAACTTTGTGAGCACATTTCATATTTTAAGTTCTATTTTTACCTTTACTATTTATTTACCAGAGCACATTATTAAGAAAAGCAACAGAATTCCCAAGCTGCATGACAGCATAACATTGAGATGAAAAACATCTCTATCACCAGAGAAATAAAAACATATTATTAATCATGCTTCAGAAAGTCTAACAGCTCCACACCTGTCACTGATTACAGTGCACACAGGCTCCATGTTATGATAAGGCACTCTTCATAGCACCAACTGCAGTCATGGCTAATGACAGGTAATGATAAGAGAAGCTGTGTTTTCTGTTAGACAGTCAGGTGTCCTGTATTCAACACCTACACAGGCTCCAACCGCGCTACAATTATTCCCGAGTGCTTGGCTATGATTGTGGCATAATAATCCTTTGCACAAATTAATTTTCTTTTTAAAATGTCTAACAGATCGATAGGAACGTGGTCATTTTAAAAACTGATATTTACATCTGCAATAACAAACAAAAACAAATAAACTGAACAGTGAAAATGGTTTAATGGTGATGCTGACTTCAGTTGGTTTGGACAAGTAATTCCACTTTGCGTTTGTTCTTAAGATGGTTCTCCTGAGTTCTGGGGTAGGAGCCACGACTGAAAACTCTCGTGGGGTGAATGTGCGGTAGCTCGTTCTGAAATGCTGCTATATGAGATGACAGTTTAGAAAAGTCCTGCAGAACATAAAAGGTAAAAAAAGTGTTGCATCTACTTGTTTTGGCACTGGTTAGAGCTCCTCACAGCTGCATCCTGTACAAGATGGACATTAGAGGAAAAGGAGAGCGAGTTGCATAAATAATTATCCTCCCCAGCCGGCAACAGAATCATTTTCTCAAAATCATAGAGAGTAAAAGTTAGTCTATCCTCGCATATATTTAAGGTTTGTGTGTGATCACTCTATCTGTACTAAAGACTAGTAAAGACTAGTTTTTTTGTATACAGCTATATTGTATATCAGACTAGTATCACCTCATGCTGTCAGATGCCACCTGTGTCCTTTGCTCACTGCTTGTGGTTTTATTAGCCAGAGAAAATTAGAAACCTACCAAGTCCACTTTAGAAGATTAGAAGGGGACCGTGGCACAAATCGCTGGTTTTTGTATTTTTACTTTATGCTTGATTAGGATTAAGAAAAATGTGCCCCTCGTCAACAGCAGTCCTTCATGTTAAAGACAAACGTTACGCCCCTCTGCAGCCCCTAATCTCCACAGTGTGGTCACCTGTTGCTAATTGGCCACACCCAGTCAGGTGTGGATAGAAGCATACCAGAGGCGGGCTTTCGAGAAGCTCACTAGTCTTTGCCTTGGTGGCACCAGCTATTTTAGCCAAACCCCCTCTCTAACACTCTGGTATTCATCTCCTTTTTTATGTTGCGGCTTTTGAGCCGAGTCGTAACACAAATTAGAACATCGTATCTGTTCTGATATTTGTCCTGTGAACATAAACTGCTGTCTGAAAATAAAGAATTTCTAAAAATTAACCAAACGGTGACGAGACTGACACCACACCCAGCGATCACCTGGTTCACAAATAGTAGTTAGTTAAGTTATTAAGTTGTCTGGGGCATTTAACCAAACGATTAATGGTAAAGTATATGTGTAAACCATGGCCCATGCAGGTATTCCAGATATTCTTATCCCCAGCAGGTTTTCCCAGTTACTCCTTGGGAATCCTGACGCCCAGCTCATAGATGTATATTCACCACAAGTTCCCTGTCTACCCTGGGGTAAGACCCAGTTGGGCATGCCTGGAAAACCTCCACATCAGCTGGCCCAATGAAAAAGCTTCTTTTAAAAGCCACATCTGTTAGCTCCCCATGTTTGACCCTGCAGGGTTTCATGCCGGATGCCCTTCCTGACAAAGAGAATTCGGGTCTTTGCCTGGAATTAAACAAGCAACCTTTTTCTCGCCAAGCAAGCGTGTGGCACTGGAGGACAGAGGATGTCCAACGTCTTAACTGTCTCGATTAAATGAGATTTTTACATTAAACGTTTTCATTTCGTTTCGTCATAAGCTGAACGGTTTTGACTGACCGCCACCTTCACACTGAAGCCAACAAAAAAATAATAATCTACCAACTTTTGGTTGAAGAAAATAAACTTATTTCAGCTTTTTTCATTTCAAAGGTGCTGCAGATGTTAGAGAGTCTTTTCTTCACTGCTGGAAACAGCACAGCAGCAACAACACCACAGAGAGCTCGGCCTTATTTACTTCTTAGTACAATCACACACATAAACGTCCATTGTTTACCAAAAAATTAGCCCATGATGTTGGTCTAGAAGTTTGCCTTTGATCTCATAACCTTGTGCTTTGGTAACGCTCTAAGTTAATGCCTTTAAATAAATGACTGGGTGAAATGAAAGCCTGCTTGTTCTCACACGTCTTCTCCCCACTGTTTTCTCTTGGTCTGAATTCTTATATTTCATGACAGAAGGAATCAAAGGTGTTGGTACACAATGTACTAAAATAAAAGCCAAAGCACAGTTCCTGCCTTTCTTTCATATCGAATCAAAAATGGATTTTGAATCGAACTGTGTCCTCAAGGAATTGCATTAAAAACGAACGTTGAGATTTCCTGAGACTCTCACCCACACAGTGAGTTTAAATAGCTAAGCAGATAAGAACATAATTCAGAGACAGATTCTGGGAGAAGATACAGGAAATTAACCCTTTACTGCCTCGTCTGGGTTAGTTTCTGTAGCTGAGAAAGAGCAGTTACGAGATGAATTACAGCACCAATTTGGATTTAGCGCCGCTCCTTTCATAGTAAAGTTAAGTCAATATTTATAAGGACGAGCATATCTGCGGAGAGCAGAGGTACGACTCTGATGTCATCAAAATGTTCAGCCTGGAGCTTTTCCATAGACTTTGAATGGGATGGTGAATTAATGGGCTCATAAAATGTTTGTTTGAACTGTTACACCCAAATGAGCTTTTAATTATAGTAGTGCTTTCTGAAGTGAGGCAGAAAATGTGCCCCTGTCTGCATAAAACCATCCTAGTTACTGCCAGTGCCACTGTCAGCACTTTCATCCCCTGCAGTCCAGTTCTCTGTTCAAGTGTACATCTGTGTAAGATCACCTATTAAAGTAGTAAATAACTCCGTTAAGACCAGAGGGAGATAATGACAAGCCAGCTTACTTCAGTAACTTTTTAGTCAATTGCATTTGTTCAACTATTTTATTGCACACTTTCTTTGCTCAAGTATGTTTTAGAGAAACATCATTTGAATACAATAATTGCGCTACATGCATTTATTTATAGTTTTAAGTATTTACACACATTCCTAAAATTCCCAGTCTTCCGGTGCCTTGTCCTGTCTTATCGCCCTCGATTTCAGAATAATAGCTGAAGCAGAGCGTTCATGCTGCCGTTGTTTCCTCTTCCCTGAGGTCAGGACATCAGAGAACTGACAGAGAGGAACAAGTGTGTTAATACTGCAGCATTTCAGCCTCGCTCTGTGATGTCACAAAGGTCTACAGATCCACCAATGGAGAAAAAATGTTCTGAAACCTGAGCTTTTGGCTCACCAGTTATTGTGAACTCGCCACACTGTCACGTTTGACTTTCACAGCTACATAATATAAGAGGAGTGTATATTCTGATGAGGTAACAGTAACAGTTCTCTTTTTATTCTCATGTTGTTCACCTTATCAAATGTCACGAACATGTCTAATGTTAATCTACATGAAATATACAGGTGGGTTTTTTTGCTTGTTTTCTCTGTTCCTGACCGCCTGCTGTCTCTATCCAACTCTTGTCTTTTGCAGATGTCCTCCTGGTCACATGATCAGTGTAAACGGGACCAAAAAGTCTTGCGTGTACACCCTTTGTGCTATGCGGCCCTGTCACCGCGGGACCTGCGTGGCCCAGTCGCCCTCCAAATTCACCTGCCACTGCCCGGAGGGTTACCAAGGACACCGCTGTGAGACGACACTGGCCATATACAGGGAGGACGTGGGCCTCAGCTTCAGCTCCCTCTTTGCCATCTGTATCTGCTTCATGGCCTTACTGGGTAAGTCCTGTAAATGTACTGCCTGTTACGCACATCTGTCAGACTGTATTACTGTCGTGTTTCTACGGCAATACTTCCCATCCTAACTATAAGCAATTTGGAAACAATAATGATGCTTAATATAATGTTTAAAGCTATAACTCTGTATTGATGCAGCCATGGGCAGTGTTATCGTGAACGCACTGCAGCGAGGCGGGAGGAGCACGGAGGTGAATCTGCTTCGTGTGCAGGCTGACAAATGCTGCAATTTTCATTAAAGTACTGATGAGTACAAAATTACTATTATGTGACAGTGGAGTGCACGATAGATTTGAAACTGACACTTGAAAAAATTGAAGCTTTCATTCATAAAGTTCGTGCACTCTAAAGTGGTACGACGGTAGAGCGCCAGGTGTTTGTAATTAGCTAATCAAGGGCGTTTTTTTTATTATGTGGGAGTTAATGTGTTTATAAGTCTAGTGTGGAAACAAACAGAGACCCCACAAAGATGGTGCGCTCCGTTTTATCGATCAGTGTTTTCAAAATGACAGCCTGATTTTCATGAGGTCAGTAACTCTAAAATAACTTTTTATGTCACTCTACATGTAAAGCAACTAATACTTACTGCGTGATTTAATATACTCTAACAAACAAAAATGAAGTTGTACGACAGCTAATCAAGAATGAATGTTTCTGCAGACGTGATCTCAAGAAGTTTCCAAGTCTTGCACTGAAGTTTTCAGGCAGTTATTAATCAGACTTCTCAAGTTATTTGTGTGAATTTTACCAGATGGGAATTCTTTTTAATGATTATTCAGATTCTGCATGATTCTGCTCGTTTACTTCGTTTGATCTGTTGTACAGAGTTGAGGGTACATTGAGATCCTCGCTGACCTAAATCTTAAGAACGTCTGTGAAAGCTTTTTAATATCACATCTCTCCCTTCCTAATGAAGGTTATTCCAAAGCTTGGAGCAGGACCTTTTATACTCCCCCATGATGCCATATTTATTCTCAGACTGTACTAAAGTAGCTTTACATTCATAGTTCAGAAAAAAAGAAAAAAAAATTTTTTAATGTAGGTCCTCTGTGAATCCTGCTTGTTTCATGAGTGCATGAGGATATCTGCTCTCATTGACATCATACAGATAAGAGTAGAAAAAACTGTTTAGAAAAGTGTGTGTTCTGAACTTTTGGTTAACAAAAAGACGTCCAAGCTTGTAACTGTGTATGTGTAACATGACAAATCCTATTTAGGCTTATCTTCTTTATCTGCAGATGTAATTACAGTTCAGTTATTTAGCTCATCTGACCGAAGCTTGTGGCGTCCGTTGCCTGTTTGTTCATTCATCTCTCTGTTCGTTCAGTTCACAAGATTTGCTACTCCTACAGTGTTGGTCAGATTTAATCAAAATTGTACACAATTGTGGTCAAGGTCACAGGAATATATGGTCATTTTATGGTCACCGTTCCCTTTTTGCAAAAACTGCTGCTCAAAGTGTTGGTTCGGATTATGATTTTCATGAAATGAGTGTTTGCATGGACTAATCTGTGTACCTAGGTTATCCTGTTATGATGACGATGATGGTCATAATCTTGTGTGTCATGATGGTGGAGGGAGTGGTCTTACTGGTTGACTCCCACATTAGGAAAGCTTAGTTGGTTCCTTACTACCACCATTATGTCAACATTATTAATATGCCCAATGCTTTTTATGACCATGGTTACAGCTGACCACGATGCTTCTGAACTCAAACACTTTTGTTTGGTGGTAAATGGGATCAAGTTGTCCTGGATATGACTGTGAGCCTCTCTGATGTCTCAATGGATGTTAATTCTCATTAGTTTGTGCAGTACAGCCGACCCCTCTGTGCTTTACATATTACAGTAGCCTGTAAATTGTGATGGATTGTGAGCGAGATTAGCTATTATGATCTGGTTTGTATACGTTTTAAAAGGTAGATGGAGGGCTTCAGTGAAACATTGGATTAACAGGATGCCTCACTGCATTAGCAGAGTAAATGATCCAAATCCAGGGATCTCCTTTCAGCACATTAAATTACATCAACCTGAATCCCTATACAGTAACTGTTTGTACTGCTATGTAAAACTGTACTATACACAGTGCATATATATATATAATGTAGTCCTGTAAATTAAGTACATTCTTAATATTTTTAAGAGGTTAAAGAGCAGCCAGGTTCTGCTAATCAAACACTTCTTTAATGGATCATTAGCACGTGTCGGCACCTCTATAAAAGTGTAGTTATGTCAGTTTGTGGCTCTGGAGCTTTCTGGTGTGTGTTAATACAATGATGCAAACTTCCCAGAAGTGGTCGGTCTCCCCAAGGTCAGACTGGGCAACACTCAGAGAAACTGCAAAAAGCCCAAGAGCTGCATCCCAGACTCTACAGTCCACAGTTAGCATGTTAAATGTTAAAGCTGTTGGACTGAGTAAGCAGGGCTTGGTTGGAAGGGTTACCAGGGGAAAAACTCCCGTACTGTTACTTGAAGTTATTGGTGTTAAAGGTGGTCTTACAAGCTACTGGATCATGTGGTGACCTCCGATATCGCTCCTTTGTTCTTCATGCATGGCATAAAGTCATTGTCCAAGAGTGATGCAGAGTTCTTCTGTCTCCTACCACCTTAAAACAGAGCTGGCCTTCCTGATCAGCTTATCCAACCGCTTCAGCTTCCTTTCAGCAATAGATTAGCTGCTGTTCCAACAGACAACACCATTAGAGATGGCTGCCACTCCAAAAGATCTCAGTCTCCTCAGAGTCTGATCAGGAGATGGTTCCACTGGCACCAGTCCACAAAGTCCTGAATCCACTGTCTGTACTCTGATATATCTTCACCCTAATGAGGCTAGCGATGGGAGAGTCATCAGAGAACCTTTGTAGATGGCAGCCTGGGTAGTTGATGGAGAAGTCTGAGGTGTAGAGGGTGTCCTCATCTACTGTGGGCGACCAGTGAGGTAGTCCAGTATCCACTAGGACAGGTGGTGGTCCACTCCTGACAGCTCCAGCTTGTCCCTCAGAGGTCGGATGGTGTTAAAAGCACTGGAGAAATCTTCCAGGCTTCTCCGGGTGGGTCAGAGCTTGGTGCAGGAGGTAGATGATGGCATCATCCACCCTGATGCCAGGCTGGTAGGCAAACTGCAACTGATCCAATGAAGAGCTAAACAGGGTGCGATATTTTAGGAACTGCCTCTCAAGGGTCTTTGAGATGCACGATCAGTGCTACCGGCCTGTAGCTGATGAGGTCCTTTGGATGTGTAGTCTATTGCACTGGTACCACACCGGAGGTCTTCCACAGCTGTGCTACTTTCCCCAGCTTCAGGCTGGGGAAAGTAGCTTCAGGCTTCAGGGAACATGTATCCCATGATGCCACACAGTTGGTCTGTGCAGCACCTCCGGAGGCTGATGCCATCAGGACCTGAAGCCTTTCGCACCTCGATCTTTGGCAGCTCGTTCCTCACCTGAAGTGTTGAATGTGACAGGATGGTGGTGAGGGAGGGGGGCTGTGGGATGGAGTCTTTGGGTTGGACTTTAGGCAGTAAATTTCAAAGGTAAAGCTGTATAGCAGCCCTTTGTCTCGCCTGTGAGCGGATCAACTGAAACATTCTGGTGTTTGATTTTCTGTTGTTAAAATCCACATTTTTCTTTCTTTCCTTTATGTTTTTGCTTGTTGAATATTCATCCACCTGTACCTTTTAGCTTTGTATTCCAGTCCCTGAAGGATCCTCTGCTGAGAAAGCGCCTCGGGCTCAGTCGTACTCAGAGAGCTGTCAGTACAATGACATGTTCCCGTTGTTTAATTGAGGACAATACAACAGAACAGTAAAGAGCAGTATGAGACGAGCACAGCCCAAGAAGAGAAAGCAGATCAGAGGAGTGCAAAATAAAACAGGACGACACACAATACCAAAAGAAAACAAGAGGGAGCTGAATAGATAGCACAGCCGAGGCTGCGCGCAGCACGGCGAGAGAAAGAAAAAGTGGGAGATGTGTGGTGAGGAAGATGGTGTTGGTGTCACACTGCTGCTGGCCATGTCTGATTGTCTCATTGGTGATTCACAGGGCACCTCTTTCACACCCGGAGACCAGCCAGACACTCAAATGATCATTTCTCCTTTTCTTTTCTCCTCCATTCCAACATCTTCCTTCAAATTTGGCTCCGGGCTTATATTAAATGCGACATCCAACCTTGATCCTGTTGAGGCTCAGCGCTGTTTTAAGTGTTAATTACTTGATTTGTAGGCGTATAAGGTGCTGTTTACCCAAACCTGCAGAAATTGAGATCAATGCTCCGGGGGCTTTGGTAGTAATTTCAGTCGGTAGAGCATCCTGCGCTCGATTGGTCAAGCATTCCTCACTCTGAAATTTAAGTAGCGACGAGAGAGACTTCTTTTTTTCTTTTTTTTTTTAAGCCTTCATCAAATATTTCTTGTGCACACTCCAAATGTTTGAATAGCAAGAACAAAAGAAGGGCAGCAACTCTCAAAAGCAGTTCTCTGAGAATGTTGTGATTGGTGAAGATTAAAGACAAATTCTACTCCCAAAAACGTTCATATTCGCTCATTCCCTTTGATCCTGATCTGTTGTGTGGTTTGATATGGTCAGCTATGAGCTTTCCCTTGTCTGCTGGTACTGAGGTTCCTACAACATGAAGGCTTCATAGTTGGTGGGGTGTGTGTGTGTGTGTGTATTCTAGCACCTCCAGCACATAAGTCATTTTAACGTGTGTGATACTTGGAGGATGAATCTTTAATAAGTGGGGTGATCCTTGACTTTACTTTCCATTTGTACCAAGTTGACATTTGTAGTTCGAATGAGACATTTCAACAGCTGTTTGCTAGATTGCTATCAATTTTCAAGAGGCGGTGGTGTCAGAAACACACTTGACTGAGAGGCTGCTATTGGAGGATTGACTGGGAACATTTTAAAGGCTTCCTTTTATTTCCTGTTTGACTGGTTTAACCTGCAAAAGTTTGGAAAAATGGTTTAGGCTAAAACAAAC